ACATATATTTAGAACGAGCATGAAATGTCTATTTCTAGTAGATTACTCTTGATTATCTTTACTAATCTATCAATGTTTGAGAATTAAACAAACGAATTGTGTGAAGATTTTTTACATCTATGTTATTAAAGTTTATCATATTCATGATTTTAAAGACTAGGATTCATTCAAACAGCTCGTCAATTTTTTTGGAATGCCTTAACAGAAAAAGAAAACAAGAAAAATTCTTCCATGGGACTTATTGCAGATTTATCATTTGAACCTCTAATTTTTATTAATTTCTATCAATTCAATGTTTAAATGACCATCAAATGAGGTTCTAAAGAAATTATTGATATGAGACATTTGTAATATTTTTTATCTCTATATGTCGAGAATAAGAAGGGTTTTCAGAATTGAATATTTTATTTAGCGCATTCACGCCTCAGTCTCAAGACAACTATCGTATGTTTATGTTTAACTTTAACATCTTTGAAAAATGTATGATGTTCAACAGAAAGAATTTTATCTGTCTTCACCCTTGATATGCTTGTTTTAGTCAGATCTGTTGTCGAAATAGAATGTTGTATTTATTTCGTTCTGTTTTAACCGTCACTCGTTATGAACATTAACAGAAATGAAAAAATTTATTCAACCAGGTGAATTTTGCTCTTGAAAAGAAAAATTATTTTCTGCATCGTCTCAAAGCGAATTAAATACATCAAGAAAGAAAAAAAAATGGGATAATTTGACCCGATGGCTCTCAGCTTGATAATGCTAACCATTGTTTCAATATTTGAATATTATGATCTTTCGCATCAAATTCTATTGAAAACGAAAATTAGAAGTTACAAAAAAAAATCTAGAATTTAATTTTTTATTCCAGGGAACAGACCTCTTGATGTCTCTTATAGTTTAGAATTCTCAACGGAGTTCTATTGAAACCACTTTGGACGGGGAAGGGGGGGGGGGGGGAAATCATCAAACGAAATAAGCACACGATCAGTAATCAGTGTATAATGAAGTCCAATATGATTTAAAATGATATCAGTGAGGCATAAAAAATAGAGAACTATTCAAAGAAAATTAATAATTTATATCTAAAACAAAAGTCTTTTTTATATCAGAAATTTTCAAATAGACAATTACATTAATGTAGTACAAAAGCTTTCTTTTGATAGCACTGATAGTAATAAGATGCAAATGTCTCTCAATGAAGCTTAAAAGCTTGAAAACAAGTCATCTTATCCCTTTATGCTGCAGACACAACTAATAGAACTTTTTACTTTATTATTCATGAAATTGTGAATACAACTCATGTTGAAGGATCTTATAATTTTCTTTAAGAATATTGTCATACTTTATGTTTATTCTCTTTAAAATACTTTTCTAACTATTCTTATGTGTTTGATAAAAGAGAGAGTGTGGGTGTGGGTTGAAGAAGAGTACAACATCCACACCCACACCCCAATAGTCAGATAGAGAAAAAATCATTCTCAGTTGATATGTTACAACTAAAAACAAAAATTTTCTTGTTTCTTATGAATCAATCTTTCGATTTCTCTTACATATGAATATCTCATCTCGATTTCATTCAATCTTAGAAAATCTTTCTTTTAAATATATAAAAAGAGTTTGTTTTCCTTCTCATTTAAATCGCGATTCAATAAAGCGCAAAAGTCAGACCATTTATACGTTCCTTAAAAACCGCTCAAAACTGCGGTTCGTAAATTCCACAGTAACAAGAGGAGCAATCATGCTTAGACTTACAAAAATTTAGTTCAAATCGCGGTTTTTACGAACCGGGATTTTCTCCAGTTTCTAAGAAACGTATAAATGGTCTGACTTTTGCGGTTTATTATGACGTGGTTTTTACTCGAAAATTTTTTTCCTGGCAATGATAATGACAAGACGAAACAAAATGAAATAGCTTATCAGCGCAGCTCCAAACGAGCTGAAATGTGGAACTCACGTATATCTTTCAAGTTTACTATTCTAATGTCTTATTTTGAAACTGGAAAGCAGTTTTTTGAGTATTTATGAAGTCCGAGATGTATTATATAGAATATAAAGTTTTCTGTGTGGTTGCTGGGGTCTATAATTGTGACTTGTCTGTAATGGGGGGGGGGGGGGGGGGGGGTGTTTATTTCTTCCTTTTTTTTGTTGGGTGTTTTTTTAGGGGGGGGGGGGGGGGGGGGGGGGGGTGGGGGGGGGAGCCGCGAAATCTCAACGTAAAACGTACACTCACTATTTTCTTCGAAAAAGAACGTGAGTTCCACAAAAGTCTTTTAATGAGGAGATTGGGACAATGATTAGAAATCGCTCGGATATGCATCACTGGTTTCGACTGACTTCGGAAGAATTTCATTGAATTTACTTATATTGGTTTTCGACTAAATTCAAATATAAGATGATCTGTAATTGATATATTGAAAAATAGAACAATGATTTCATATCGATTCGTTTTTATTGTCGATTCTGCAATGATCTTTCTCAATTGTATGATCAATTCAATTTTACTTTTGACCCACATTAATTTTCTTATTCGTTTCTAATAGAAATTCAATGGATGAAATAAGATTATTCACTAAATAGAGACGAAACTTACTCGATCAAACCTATGACTGATCAGCGAATCGATATTCAAGATAGATCCATTGAAATGATTCCATATTGTTCAATGAATATTTCTAAGTACCATCAATTTATTTTCATTGATTAGAACGTTTTCTGATAGTTGGTCAACGAATAATTATTTCTTGATTAAAATTCACTTTTATCTTTCCTTTTTGTTTCTCATCATAACAAGAAATTATCTCGAATAGAACTTGATCGATCTAAGAAGATCGATACGAATTCCATGAGATTTGTCAATAGAACTTTTCACTCAAAACCAATTGGAAGATGTCAATGGTATAAATCGAAAACATACTCATCAATTATTTTTTATCGAAAAAAAAACAATCGATGTAGGTGAAGACTATTTTTTAATAGAATTATTGATTGCATCAAAGAGAGAAATAGTTTCCAAACATTTCTAGAGGATATATATTGATGTTCTAGAAGAGATATTTAAAGAAATGAAATATGAAATCTGCTTTGCTTACAAAATAAAGTTGAATGTTGGTCAAAGCTCTGATCTTTCTTATCATTTGAATTCTCATTATCAATTGATTCTTACTGAAAGAATAGGCAGAAATCTTCGAATTTCAAAGAAATTTTTTTTTCTATATGAATATTCCAAAAAAAACTGTTGATATTTATGATATCATCGTAGATCTATTGATTGTTTTTCTTCATCTCTTCACAGTTATTGAAAAATAAAAAAAAATAGATTTCTGAAAGACAAATGAGAGAAAATAAGGAAGCAGAAATAGTCGATTTTTGATCAAAGAAAGTTTTATATATCTTCACCATTACGAAAAAAACATTTTCAACCTCATTGTTTTATTCTTAAACGAAAGTTTCATCTTGATTGATTAGATATTCTTATCAAATGAATAACTATCAAAGAAAAGTTATCTTCTTCTCATGAGGAAACGTTTTCAACTGCCTAATTACTTTTGGATTTGGACTATGTGCATAAGATAGACCTTGATGAGGTATAAAAAACTCCAAATGCATAGATGTCCTTAGACCTTCTGTTCAGAGTTATAATCATTTTACTGGGATTTTAGCTTATAGCATTGTATATACCAAAAAAGCGAATGGCAATATTTCGATCTGAGTTTTTACTCACAGACAGATCTATTTGTGAACAGGATGCCGTGAAAATTTCAGTTCAAGAGAATGTTTCCTTCCCGAAATATAAAAGTTCAAAAGATCATCCATATCTAACGAAGAGTGCTAAAATTTTCCGTTTGGTAAAATATTACCTAAAAAGAGTGTTGAAATAAATAGGGCGAGAAATTTGCACCCACTCATATGGTGACAGATGTCTACATGGTACTATCAGAAGCCATGTATAAGCTGAGTCTAGTTAAAATATCTCTGCAATATTTTCTTGTTGAAGTTCTATGGCAAAAAGTAAAGGAATAATGACGAAGTATACCCGAATTTACATAAAAAGACGACTTTCTAGGGAATTAGTAACAATAGGTATATCGTGTTTCACATTTTAATCTCGCAGGGATTGCGCTAGCAGCTTTTTTTTTGACTATTAGATGTGAGTAAAAACTCAGATCAAAATATTGCCATTCAAGTTTTTGGTATATACATCATGCCATAGGCTAAAACAACAGTAAAATGACTATAACTCTGAACAGAAGGTCTAAGGGCATCTATGCATTTGGAGTTTTTCATATCTCATCAAGGTCTATCTTATACACAGATGTCCAAATCAAAAAGTGATTAGACAGTTGGAAACGTTCTCTTGTGAGAAGATAATCTCATTTGATCGGATTTATGAAGAAATATATTTCGTTTGAATTTGTCGTAATGATCTTATCTGGAAGATACTGTTCGAACTTGTATTATTGTCTCTTGAAGTCTATGAACATAGAGTTTTGTATGATTATAGTTATTTAATACACAAGGTTGTGTGTAGAAGGACGAAAAAAATCGTATTTAAAATCTTCTCTTCATTGCTACTTCAAAGAGATATGTCAGTTAATATACAACATCATATTAACCATGTATGCCAGAATTGAATGAAATAATGGTATTAAAGAGAGTATCAAAGTTCTTAATGTTCGGTCATCCTCTTAAATTAGAATAGATAAGACGATCATAGTTTAATAATTCTCAATAAATAATTATTAAAATTTGATTCGCTAAGAAATATACAATTACAGTGGAATATTACTTTATGATATCTATTTTATCATCGGGAATGTTATTCGGTATAATAAACAGATTCTTAGTTCTATCATAAATATCTTCATTTTTCGCTTAGTCAACCTAGAAACGTATATTAGCGATTAATTTTCATATTTATTCAAAAACAAACTATATTCAAAATCGAGATATCTATTTAACAAATCAATTCTAACATCATAAATACAATTTTCGATGAATAACTTTTAGAGTATAATCATGAAGAAGTTTTTTGATTTAATTAAAGTTTTCGATATTGTCATCAGATCATTACATTGCTTTGAAATACACAATGAGGATAAATAACGAGTATTATTGTTAGATTTTGATAATAAAAATGGAACTATTGGTTGCAAATCTTGTTTACATAAATTAATCGTAAGATATTCCATTCGAAGAAAAATAGTAGTAAGTAATTGGATTTTTTCTAACGTAATTTCTTTACTAATTGTTACTTTTGTTATAGTATTCATATTAGATACCAATTTCGATAATTCATTTTGTTGAATTGAAACAGAATCAGTTCGATAAAGTAATATAGAATCAAGTTTTAATACATGAACATTAGGTGTAAATTGTAAAAGTTTTATTAATTGTTCAAAAGAAAAACGATGACATTCAATAGTTAATTTAGTTAATTGTTTCAATGGAAGAGAACGATTTAAATCAATGGCAATTGAATCACAACATACTTCAAATGTTTCACAAAATGTAAGTATAGTAGCATTTGGAAAATGATCAATGGATTCTTTTATCATATTTTTACCATGAATACAAATATGATGAATTGGATCTTCATTAATACCAAAACGAGATGACCAGATATTTTCGACTAGTTCATCATACAATACATAATCTTTTCTTCCGAAAAGAAATAGATGATAAATATAGTGTAATACATAATTTCTTCTTCTTTTTACCTATATGGATTTCTTGAATAGAAGATAGCAGCATTCGACCATATTATTTGATGATAATGATGATCAAAGAACCATTGATGTTCTATCCAAAATTTTGAATTAAATTTATTGATAAGAGTTTCAAATGTTTGACGTTCATCGTTGGAATTCAGTACACGATATGAAAGTTGAAAAATCAAAGACACGTAGATTTAACATATGAGTTGAAATTAATTGTTCCCATCGATCAGCATTTAAATATTGTGTACTATTACCATAAAATCCAATATACTGTATTGCAATAGTTAAAATTTGAATTTGACGAAAATAAATTATTACTAAGATTTCAAAATCATCAAAATTAATATTATGTAATTTAAGAGAAACATTTGTTAAATAATTTAAGCTTATCGAACCTCTTTCGGTTCGGTTGAATTTAGGTTCCTTTAGATTACCAATCGATAAATGACGTAGTTGTGGAACATAAGATAATAAAATAGGAAGTTGATCAATTGAAATCTCATGATTAATGATAAGATGTTCGATAGTACTAAATTCATTTGTAGCAACAGGTGATGATTTTGAACATTGTAATAATTCAATTAATATCTGACAATATTTCAGTATAGGTAAATGAGATATTTTATAATAAATATTCTTATGATTTTTAATAGTAATAATCGATATGATAATCAATGAAGATAAAACAGGTGAAGAAGATAAATGATTTACAATTTGTTCAATTTAATTCGATTCAATATTATTTAAAATAAGTATTTTAAGTTGAATTAAATTTTTCATTATTGGTAGTAGTAATAAATATAGATTAATAAATGGATTTGATAATCGAAATAATTCAATTCGATAAGCATAAGATTTAATAATATGTGTTAAATAATGTTGTAATTTAGAATTTGATATGAATGAAATATTGATTTTAATTGGAAGATTTGAATTAAGAAAAAGATTTTGAAATCGTTGATTAAGATCGTAAAAAGCTTGAAATACATAATGATAATTGAGAAATTCAAATATTTCATAAATAAGTTCATTTGAAACATTTTCAAGAGTAGTAATATTTTCTTTTATTAAACTGAAAAAGAGAAGAGAGAGAGAAAGAGATTTGATATAACAAAGAAATAGCTTTGTAATAGACAAACCAGTTTGTTTCGTTTACCGTTATTAAAAAATAAAAGATGTTTCCATTAAAAGAACAACCAGATATCATTTTTTATCGTCAATATTTTTCCTTTTGTTATCATTATTATCATGAATAATAATATTATTTTGTCGTCTTTTGATTTGTTTCATAAAAGAATCAGACAGTTCATAAAATCTATAATGATGAATTAGCTTATTGATGTATAAGTTTTGAAAAAACCTGCACGAGTGCTTTGCATAAAACATCATTTTTTCCAACATGGATGTACAGAATATACAAGAAAGAAAAGATAGAGAAAAATACTTGTTTGAAATGATCACAGAAAGCAAAGAAATTCATATGATATGAATCATTTTGCAAGAACGTTATCGAAATGAATCATGTTTTTTCATCATTGACTTTTGCTTTTCTCAGTTTATATTCATTTAACGCAAATTAATGGATTTAGTTTTATGTTACTGTCAGGTTATAACTACATAAGTTTTCTGGATTCTCTGCAGTATCTATTCGATGAATATAAATTTATCTTTATGTACATTTTTATCAAACACAAAATTCTCTAATTTGACTCATATGGTCAGGTCATTCACATAGGGTATTCGTGTGGGTGCGGTTTAACTGAAGACATCCCCAACACCCACCCCCACACTCACCTCCTATATATGAAAGGAACGAAAAAGAAAGATGGAGGCGGAAGAAAAATAGAGCAAAGCGGACTAACTACGGATATATATGTTAATTGAATCATTTGATAACAATCATTTGTTTTCAAACATTTTTAGATATATTTGCTATTCAATCTTTGATAACGATTAAATATTGATTGACAGGTGATGCGACAAACTGCAGTTGTTCATCTTAATCAAGTTGTCGGATGCCGTCTATTAACGTTCCTTGATGGGATAGATGTGACGAATTTTATCGAAGCAGTGAACAGTAGCAAACAATTCTGGTCAATTGCAAAAACATTAGATCATCATTTTATTGAATTGATCAAAGTGTTCTGTGGTCATCAAAGAATTTTACTACCACATGCACTATTTGGAAGTATCACGGATGAATGTGAAGTCGATGATGAACGACACATTATTGTCTCAAAGCGCTATTCTGATGTCATGGAGCCGTCTGAACGTTTATATATTCATCCGTGCTTTAGTATTCAGGGATTTTCGAAGTTGTGTCAAGCCTATAAGACTCCTCTTTTCCAATGCTATTGCCGCCTCTTACCGTTGAACACTGTTTGTTACAAAGCAGATTTTGGACTTCTTGATTACGAGTGGTATGGTCATACGATTGGATCGAAACGCATGTTAAATGACCATGAAAAAAATTTATTCAAAGGTAATAACTATAGGGAATTAAAAAATAATATCTAAAAGGCCATGCATACGATTAATTCTAGTTAACACGTATTTTAAGATGAATAAAAATAGAAATTATGGTTCGAATATGACATTTGTGCGTACAATGGAAGAGTTTAAACAGAATTTGGCCACTCATTTTTCATCAGATGCATGGTTAGGAGCAATCGACTTCTCAAAATGGGCAGTAGTTGGAGGATGTGTTCTGAATGCACTATGCCAATCACCGTTTCCGGATACCAAACAACAAGATGTCAACTTGATGTACTATGTGAATGATATATTGGATTTTAAGAAATCA